TAATAAGAATCAAACCTTAATCACCAAGCAATTCAACCAAAATTTGTGATCTCTCCAATTCTCTATTAATTTCGTTTGGCCGTAGAGGTGGGCATGGTTTGGACTAGCGAGCCGAACCTTCCCTGAATTGGCACAATCAAAATCGTTGACAGTAGGTCTTGAATCGGCCTGTCTTTTACCTGGACAAGTTTAGGTTCATGCATTTTTAAAAAAAATTAAAATGCCAGTTCAAGTTCTAAACTGGAACTGACTGAACTGGCAAGTTGACACTAAAATTTTAATTTGAAAATTGTATTTTTATTTTTCATTATTAATATTTAATTATTTTTTATTTCATATATATATTTTTTTTAATTTCTTGAACCAGCCCTGAATCGTCGGGCTGTTCTAAACCGGAACCAATGGTTCATTGAACTTGCCCTTGGTCTTTCCTGGCCGATTCTGGTTCGGTGAACCTGATTTTGACCACGCCAGCTTATCACTGTAGCTGTACAACATTTTTAATCACTTTTTTTTTTTTTTTTTTTAATAAAAAACATTTTTAATCACTTATGATCTAACAGTTGGCTACAGCAAAGGAAGTTGGGTAAAGATTTATTCAGTAAGTCAGATGGTGGTATTCTTATTAATTTAATAAAATATTTGGCCTTCTTTTATAATTAAACTAAACCTAAGGGGTAGGATCTCTAACTACGTGCTAATTAATCTCCCGTCAGCATCCTTTTTTTACAGGCTTCCCTCTCTCTATATATTCCATGCATGATATCCCCCTTACTTGCATCGCATCAATCAAGCTCTCTCTTTTTTTTTTTAAGAAAAAAAAAATATATATTTGTAATTAATCCCACATCGGAATTTGCCTTGTTTGTGCCAAAAATGATAAAAACAGAAGTGGAGAGGCTCTGGCTTTTAGCTCTGCTTTCCAAATGCGAATCCCTCACTCTCCAAAACACCATAATCATGGCATCCATCTTCCTCCTCTCCGGCCTCATCCTCCACCTCACCTTCTGGGCCCACCCCGGCGGCCCTGCTTGGGGCAAGCACAAATGGACCCTTAACCACAAAACATCACCACCAATCCCGGGCCCACGTGGACTCCCGCTCATAGGCAGCATGGGCCTCATGTCCGGTCTGGCCCACCGCCACATAGCAGCGGCGGCCCTTGCACACAAGGCCCGTCGTCTCATGTCCTTCAGCCTCGGCCAAACACGCGTCATCGTCACGTGCGACCCGGAGGTGGCCAAGGATATCCTCAACAGCCCGGCCTTCTGCGACCGCCCGGCTAAGGAGTCGGCCTACCGCCTCATGTTCAACCGCTCCATCGGATTCGCACCGTATGGTGCCTACTGGGCGGCTCTGCGCCGGATCTCGGCCGCCCACCTGTTCTGCCCGCGCCAGATCCGGGCCTCCGAGCAGAAGCGCGCGGAGATAGCGAGCGAGCTGGTCGGGGTGCTGGCCGGGTCGGCAGCGGGGATCCGTGTCCGGGACGTGCTGAAACTTGCATCGCTGAACAACATGATGTGGTCGGTTTTCGGGAGGAGTTACGGACTCGGGTCGGTCGACCCGGAAACAGAGGAGCTTAGGGATTTAGTGGACGAAGGGTACGATTTGCTGGGGAAATTGAACTGGTCGGATCATATTCATATTCCCTTCGTGGCAGATTTGGATCTGCAGAGGATCCGGTTGAGGTGCGGGCGGATAGTGCCCCGGGTGAAGCGGTTTGTGGGTCGGATAATTGCAGAGCACAAGGTGGAGAAATGCAGCAGCAGCAGCGGCGATTTCGTGGATGTTCTGCTGTCGCTTAAAGGGGCTGATAGATTGTCGGATTCGGACATGATCTCCGTGCTTTGGGTAAGGATTGGACGAATTATTTTTTATTTTTTTATTTATTTCAAAATCAATAAATATATTTTGATGTAATTAATATTAATCGGAGATGCTACAATATGTAACCATCGGGAATAGTTGATCTAACGGTTACAAATCACAATGGAATGATTCCGTAACTGGACCGAATCATTTCCCAATGTTAATATTGCTATTGCATGCAGGAAATGATATTCAGGGGCACAGACACGGTGGCAGTTGTAATAGAGTGGATATTGGCAAGATTAGTGTTGCACCCTGATGTTCAGCTGAAGGTCCACGGTGAGCTAGACCAGGTGGTGGGGCGATCAGGTGCGGTGACGGAATCGCATCTCACGGAGCTTGTCTACTTGACGGCAGTAGTGAAAGAAGTGCTGAGGATGCATCCCCCGGGCCCACTTCTCTCGTGGTCTCGCCTCTCAATAACGGATTCTATAGTCGACGGGCATCACGTGCCCTCTGCCACCACCGCCGTCGTCAATATGTGGGCCATCATGAGAGATCCTAACGTTTGGACCGACCCACTCACATTCAATCCCGACAGGTTCCTGGCCCAAACTACTCCAATTGCCGATCAGTTCTCGCTCTTAGGCTCCGATTTGAGGATTGCGCCTTTCGGGTCGGGCCGCAGGTCGTGTCCTGCCAAAACACTGGCCATCACTACAGTTACCTTTTGGGTGGCCACGCTCTTACACGAATTTCAATTTATGGGCGACGTCGACTTGTCCGAGGTACTGAAGTTGTCCTGTGAAATGGCTAACCCGCTCGTGGTCAGGGTCCGACCGAGGCGTGCTGGTGTATAGTTTTCACTATCATCACTTGCTGAAACAAAAAAAAAAATAAATGATGAAATAATTAAACAGCTAAGAGTGATGAAAGATAAATTAAATAAATACCAGGAGATTTAAGACTGCCTGGCTGGATTGTGATACATAATATAGTTTATACATATGTGTTGCAGTAATATAAATATATGTGATGTGCCTCATTTTCCTTTTAATATTTGTGAATGTGATGGTGTAGACTTTCGATATTTCGTTCTATATATCATTGTCAACTCTTCACATGATTTTATTCCCCTGTTTATCGGGAAATGCTACAGTCTCATTACGTAACTATCTCGTCGAGTTTGTAACCGTTAGATCATTATGTAACCGTCGGAGATAGTTGATTTAACGGTTACAAATTTCGATGGAATGATTTCGCAACAGGACTGTAGCATCTCCCGCGTTTATATATAAGAGAAAAAATTTTTTTCACCCCATAACAAAGACACATTAAGTTTTTCACACCGCCCAATAAAAAATTAAATTTTTCACCCCAGAAAGTGCGAAGATTATGCGAAAACTGTCGCATATTCATCGCATAACTGTCCATATGCGAAGGTTATGCAAAAAATTGTCGCATAACTGTAGCATATCAATTGCATAATTGTCGCATATTCATCGCACAATGCCTTCGCACAATTATGCAATTGATATGCGACAATTATGCGACAGTTTTTCGCATAACTGTCGCATATCAATTGCATAACTGTCGTATATTTATCGCATAATGCCTTTGCACAATTATGCAATTGATATGTGACAGTTATGCGACAGTTTTTCGCATATCCTTCGCATATGGACAATTATGCGATGAATATGCGACAGTTTTCGAATAACCTTCGCACTTTCTGGGGTGAAAAACTTAGTTTTTTATTGGACGGTGTGAAAAACTTAAAAAGACTACAAAACTAGGTGAAAATAGATATTTTCACTATATATAATGTGAAGGGTTAAATATCAGTTATATATATCAATAGGAGTTGGCTCAAGTGGTAAGCAATTTGATGTCCCTTAAGCAAGGTCTCGGGTTCGCGTCCTTGTGGATGCAGAAAACCGTTGTTGGGAGACTCACCCACCACTGCCAGGTGTGCGACCCAGGTCGACCAACGGATTAGTCGAAGCATAGCTCCGGATACCGTAGTTGGCTACCAAAAAAAAAAAAGAAAATATTAGTTATATATTTCCACTAATTAATGTTTTTTTTCCCCACACATGAAAAAAAAGGTTATCTATCGGATTACACTACATATATTGGCTAATGACTACTTAAGCATAATATACCAGTAGAGTTGAAATAACATCAACAAACCAAAAGAAACACGGCGGCCTTATATCACAAAATAATTTGATAAAGAAAATCTAAAAGAATAGAATATTGGTTCTGGTTTACATTTATTATACTCGCTATATACAATCACAAATAAATAATGTAAATTACTTAGGCTTGGGTAGATTTTAATTTACTTTTAATTTAAAAATAATTAGGTCGAGATCATCTATAAATATATAAATTATATATAGTCATGTTGCATGCATTAATTGCATTTTAATATTATTTCTTATTCTAACTATTAAATTGTAAATGTATTTAAAAAGTTAATTATTTTTGTATTTTTTATCAGTTTTATATATATATAATATATCAAATTAATCATCTATTGATGAGCTTCGATTTAACATTCATATTGTATGTATAAAAAATAAATTGTATTTAGCTTTATAACAATAATAAAATTATTTTTTAATATTAATTAGAAAAATAAAATTATTCATCAATTAATATATTTATATTTCAAGTAGTTATATGATATAAGTTATAAAAATTACTATAATATAACACATGTAAGTCACACAAGTAATAAGTGTCATCCTAAAATATATAATAATATATATTTGTTGTAAAAAAGTAAATAAAATTTAAAATAATTTTTCTCATTAATTTTAAAATTTTAGAATTTTTTTTAACAAGCACACGTGTAATACATGAGTTTTATACTAGTATATATTCAGAGGCGGACCTACATAGGGGCCCGTAGGGGCATGGGCCCCTATATAATTTTTTAGTAATATAATATGCATGTATATATGTTACTAGTACAACACCCGTGTATTACACAGGTGTTTGTTAAAAAATTATTCTTAAATTTTAAAATTAATGAGAGAACTATAAAAATCTAGTTTACTTTTTTACAAATATATATATATATATATATATTACTCTATATTTTAGAATGATATGTGTTACTTATGATTTATATGTGTTATATTATATTAGTTTTTATAACTTATATCATATAACTACTTGAAATATAAATATATTAGTTGATAAATAATTTTATTTTTCTAATAATATTAAAAATAATTTTATTATTGTTATAAAGATAAATAAAAATATTTTTTTATACATACAATATGGATGTCAAATCGAAGTTCATCAAAAAAATATTAATTTGATATATTACATATGTAAAACTGATAAAAAATACAAAAGTTATTAACTTTTAAAATATATATATACAATTCAATAGTTATAATAAGAAATGATATTAAAATGCAATTAATACATGTAACATGACCATAAATAATCAACATATTTATGGTAATCCGACCTAATTATTTTTGGTTTAGAATTGAATTAAAATTTACCCAAGCCTAATAACGAAGCATGTAATGTTGCCACATAGGATTCCGAAGCACCAGAAGCAGCCACGTAGGCTCAAAGCGTTCTGGATTAATATATAGGGGGATATGTATAAATGTATTATTATAGACTTAAAAAAATACATGTTATTAATTATTTTGTAAAGTTATTTAAATATAAAAAAAATAAAAATAAAATGTTTAGAATTATTTAACCTTCAATAGTATGTATGTTATACTCAACTTCTTGTTTATTTCCTTTTCCCTCAAAAAATACATAAAAAAACAAATATTATACATAAACGTATATACTATATAGGGATTGGATCGAATGTGTCCTATTCTTAAAATGAGAATGTGAGACTCATTCATAGCTATTAAATAAAAAACAAGATATTTGGTCAAGATTTAAATTTTTTATCTTTTAATTGGTTAAATATTGATTTTACTGTTGACATTCGGCGTTGACCGTTGACCGTAATTTCTGCCAGGTGTCCTAAGTGTCTGCGTCCGCCCCTGTATATATTTATCTGCAAACCAACTAAAACTATCATATTTTTTATTGCAAACTACTAGATTACTAGTACAACACCCGTGTATTACACGGGTGTTTGTTAAAAAATTATTCTTAAATTTTAAAATTAATAAAAAAACTAAATTAAATTTAGTTACAAAAAAAATATTACTATATATTTTAGAATGAGATATGTTACTTATGACTTACATGTGTTATATTATATTAGTTGTTATAACTTATATCATATAACTACTTGAAATATAAATATATTAGTTGATAAATAATTTTATTTTTCTAATTAATATTAAAAATAATTTTATTATTGTTATAAAGATAAATATAATTTTTTTTTATACATAAAATATGGATGTTAAATCGAAGCTCATCAAAAGAAGATTAATTTGACATATTACATATGTAAAACTGATAAAAAATATAAAAGTTATTAACTTTTAAAATATATATACAATTCAATAGTTATAATAAAGAATGATATTAAAATACAATTAATACATTAACATGGCCATAAATAATCAATATATTTATGGTAATCCGAACTTAATTATTTTTGGTTTGGAATTAAATTAAAATTTATCCAAGCCTAATAATGAAGCATGTAATTTTGCCACATAGGATTCCGAAGCACCAGAAGCAGCCACATAGGCTCAGCGCATTCTGTATTAATATATAGGGGGATAGGGGGATTAAACAGTAGATAATTGTATTTTAATTATGGTAAAAGCTGATCTAATGGGAGTTATTATCATCTGACCAAAATTGTATCCTCATATTAAAGAAATAACTCTCATGGCTATACTTATCACCGCCACAATACCTTCAAAATTCTTTTCAAAAACAATAAAATTTCTTCATCCTTTTCTTATATTGTCATCCCAGTTTTGCAGAAACGATGGACGATGCGCATATGGCTGTTAGAAGAGCGGTGAACGACGGCTTTGGGCAGGGGCGGAGCCAGCCTCATCATTCACCAGGGTCAGCAATATTTTTTAGTGGGGTCATTAACCTAGTAAACAGTGTTTGAACAGTATTTTATACTAAAAAATTTGAAATCTATAGGGGTCAGCTGACCCCAGCGGCAAGGTGCAGCTTCGCCCCTGGCTTTGGGCGGCCGAAAGCGGTGCGGACTGGCGGATGCGCTTCGACGGGACAACGTCAATCTCCCGAATTGAACATCAAGTGGTTGCACGGTGAGCGGTGTAGGGTGTGCAAACCCAATCCCACATTGAAAAATTAAAGGTTCCAAGTCTAATATATAAGTTTGGTGGGCTACTTCTTCTATTGCCAATTGGTTTTAGAATGGAACCCCATTTGGGCTTGTATGTTAGGCTTGATGGATAACTCGGTTTTGAATTGTTGATCCTAACAATTGGTATCAGAGCCACGGTTAGTAGCCCAGTTGCGATGTGGATGACGTGGCATGTTCTCCGTGGAGCCGGAAGGGCCGGTAGATCCGTGTGCCTTGTGTCGAAAATTTTCCTGGCGAAAGTGTGTGGTCAGGCAGCGGGTTCCGTGGGTGATAACGGCGGTACAAGATGGTCGGATCATATGAATTTGGTTCAAGGGGAGGCCCAGTGTGGTCTTGTGTTTGAGGGGAGATTTGTAGGGTGTGCAAACCCAATCCCACATTGAAAAATTAAAGGTTCCAAGTCCAATATATAAGTTTGGTGGGCTACTCCTCCTATTGCCAATTGGTTTTAGAATGGAACCCCATTTGGGCTTGTATGTTGGGCTTAATGGAGAACTGGGTTTTGAATTGTTGATCCTAACAAGCGGCGGGTAGTCAATTGTCGTCTGGTAT